GAAGGCCGATGCCTCCGTTGCCCGGCCCTCTACAGAATCCACCCCCCAAACCTCCAGGTATTTCCCTCCTTAGAGCTGGCAACCCTACATTCCCCTCAGTGCCTGTTGGTAGGCAACTAAGCTTGGTCCTGTCACCTACTTTGGCCTTTGGGAGAAAACACATTGGGGCCAGTCCTGATAGGGTTGCCAACTCCAGATGGGAAATTCCTGGAGATTTGAGGGATGGAGCCTGAAGAGGGTGAGGTTTGAGGAGGGGTGGGACCTCAGACAGGTACACTGCCATAGACTCCACCCTCCAAACCAGTCAGTCCCACATAGGGAACCATTGTTGCCAATCTCCAGGTGAGGGCTGGAGAGCACTCAGAATTACAACTGCTCTGCAGAAGGGAGGGCAGAAGTCAGCTGAAGTCAAAGGGGCAGATAATGGTAGGTTGATGGCTAGCTGGGAAGGAGATGGGGTTGCCAACTACATGCTGACAAATTCTTAGGGATTTGAGGGGTGGAGCCTGGAGAGGGTGGGGTTTGCAGAGGGGTGGGACCTCAGACAGGTAGAATGCCATAGACTCCACCCTCCAAACCAGCCATTTTGTCCTGGGTAACAATTGCTGCCAATCTCCAGGTGAGGGCTACAGATCACTCACAATTACAACTGCTCTTCAGGTAGCAGAGATCAGTTCCTCTGGAGAAAACAGTGGACTCTGTCATTATACCCTGCTGAGGTCACCACAGCAAATTGACACTGTTTGCCCAAAGCCAGAGCACTGCCCCAGAGCCTCTTTCTAGATCCCGTTGTATTGCTTTCACAACGGGCTTTACTGCTAGTATTTGCATAAAGGAGACAGTACAATATATTAGAGTTTCTAGCATGTTCATTGAGACAATAGAAGGCTGGATTCACACTGCCTTTCCAAATTGAAGTGCTGTGCTTTTTTTCTTCTCTTTTTAAATGGATCGATTTGCCACTGTATCTTCTTCTGTATCCATATAATTCTATAATCATATATGTACCTGCTAAGCATCCCTGAGATCAGAACAGCATAACTAACTATTTAAGCGTAAATTTTTGTAACCCATTCTTTCTGCATGTTGTTTGGGAAAGCAATAAATGGGCTTATGCTCAGGCATAAGACCCCAGTTTACCTAAATGTGTATGTAGCCCAAAGAAATAGGACTGGTAGTCCAGTTCAGGTAGCATTATTTCTGGCATAAGAATCACTGGAAGAATTACTGTGTCTTAACCAAGGGTATGTATCATTTAGTAACTTTGGATTATCTTTAGATGAGAAAACAATTCATGGGTACAAAATCATAAGAAAGGTCTTTTTATGTAATTTATACCTACCTATGTATTTCTTCTGCACAGATATGTTTTTGTATCTTTGTAGTACATGGAGAAGGGTTTGGACACTTCCAGACTTTACAAAGAAGGAATAGACTAAGAAAAGTTTGACTTTTGGGGATAATCAGAAGGATAATGGGGGGATTCTTCAGGGTTGAAGCAATGACTTCTGTCTTTAACAGATGGTGCTGTGATAGCGTAGGCCACTTGGCATTTATTTATTTATTTATTGGACTAAGTAAAGCTACTTGACCCTGCCTAACTAATAAGCCATCAGATCACCAAATACAGTTAACTGGCCATTTTCCCAGTCCTTGGTGTTCTGCTTAAGGCGCTGATTGTAGGAATACCAATGTATCTTTTATAACATTACCTTTTATTTTCTTATTTGTGTCTTTAGATGGAAGATGGTTGATCTCGGACAGTGTCCTTAATATCACAAGTGTAAGCTTTGGTGACCGGGGGCGATACACTTGTGTCGCCATTCATGAAAATGTCACTTCATATTATTCAGTCACCCTCAGGGTGGTTTCCACATCTGGGGATATGGGGATCTACTACATGATCGTCTGCCTGGTTGCCTTTACTATCACCCTGATCTTAAATATAACTCGTCTGTGCATGATGAGCAGCCACCTCCGCAAGACAGAGAAGGCCATCAATGAGTTCTTCAGGACAGAGGGAGCTGAGAAACTGCAGAAGGCCTTTGAAATTGCCAAACGCATTCCTATCATTACATCTGCCAAAACCCTAGAGCTGGCCAAAGTTACCCAGTTTAAGACAATGGAATTTGCTCGATACATTGAAGAGCTTGCCAGAAGTATACCTCTTCCCCCATTAATCCTTAACTGTAGGGCCTTTATGGAAGAAATCTTTGAGGCAGTGCGAGTTGATGACCCTGATGAAGTAGGAGATGTAGTCAAACAGACCCAGGCCCTTAGTGCCCAAGAGGGGATCTATCCCTTAAACCCAGAAATCAAGCGCAGCAATTCACCAGCAGGGGATTCAGATGATGGTTCTGTAAATGATCATGGCAAAGAAATAGCTGTTGAGGTATCTGTCCATCTTCAGTCAGAGGTACAAAGCATCGACACTGTTTCTCATGACAGTGTCCCCTCCATTCCTTCTGAAGATGATGCATGTGCTGAATGCAAGTAGAACAGCAAAGGCAGATGTATGAAATCCACATCTGATTGCTTGAAAGCTTTGAGGATAAAGGGAAACCAGAAAGAAACCACAGTCACAAATGCACAAAATTGTTATTTTTAAACTTCCTAAGGGACTGTAAGGTGCCAAAACAGCAAACTTTTTTTGTCCTGTATTGTATGTGTTCTATAATTTGAAAACCAGGTTATATGAGGCCGTTTTTAGATCCTCTTTAGCAGGAGTTGTATTATGGGTATTGCTAGGAGGATTTCATGCAGCCTTTGTCTTGATCTCTGATAATCTTAAATATTATCTCAGAAGAAACAAACAAAAAGTTAATATGAACTGTATTTCTCATTGTCACAAAGAAGCTTAATAACCTAAACGTACCCACACATTAATAATTTCAAGTTGTCGCCTGCCCATGGGAGACCTCAACATAACTGAATGTCATATGTGCTACAGGGAGAATATGAGGTTATTATATAGTTCTGAAACTATGCCAGACCTGTCAGTTTTCTGTGATTGTCTGTGTTGCACTCAGCCGCAGTGCAAGAACAAGAGAATGGAAGCCTGAATGCAGATTTTGGCTGTAAAATCTCTCATTGAAGCCAATAATTTAAATGTGGTGCCGATTGCCAAGCACCTTAACAAAAAAGTAGTTTTTAGTTGCTTGCTTTTTGGAGGCAGTTCAAGTTGTCAGCATTACAAACATTGTCTCTCCTCTGGAATTGCAGTGGGTGAGATGCCAAAGTAGTCTGTGTTATGTGAGGAAGGCAAACAACTCCTGAATTCAAGCATTATGAACTCGTTGGTGGGTCTGCAATAACCCTAGACGTTGAAAAAGAAAAGAAAATCCATCCTCTCTCAGCTTTCCGAAGAAGTTAGTAAAAGAGGAAAACATCTAGTGTTGTAGCCTCAGGGCCCACCTAGATATTACACAGCAGACATGTGTACTGGTCTCCTGCAAGTCTAAAAAAAATGTAAAAGCAGCCTTTGCGGCTGCGATATTGTTTCCCGTTTAAAATTGTCATTCCTCAGCTGCATTGGAGGGGTGACTTTAAGCAGAAAAATGGGTGTGGAAGAAAAGGTTAAGCGGTGCTTTCCTCCCCACCATCACTTGCTGATATCTGAAGTCTTTTACAGATAAACTTTCATTAACCAAAACCAAAAAACCCTATCAAGGCTGTTTTACGTGCCTGCTTGTAGCTTCTAGTCTGGTCCAAGCTAAATTCTTGAATGTGACAAAGAGCAAGAGGCTCCTGCACCACTCTGATGCTGCTGCTTGACTGGACCTGCCCATTCTGCAGAATGAGGTAATAAAAGGAGGTGTACCACTTCAGATTATGTGAATGGGGAATAGGAGTTTTGAATGCTTCCCCCACATTGACCCAAAAAAAAAATTCTAGGCACAAGACTAACACACTGAAGAGAAATTCAAACCCAGCCTTTGGGATGCAATTCTTTTCAGACTGCAGAAGTTTTTGCCATATGGGAAATTCTCTTACTTGGAGCCCAAGAGGTGCAGTCGCTTTCTGACACCTCATCATACTATATGTGTAGTCCAAAACTCAGTCATCCTGTTGCTGCATGTTACTGTCACATGACGACATGGAGAGCAATCAATCAACTTCTTGATTCAGCCAACGACCAGTACAAGTCAAAAATAAAAGCTTTACAGTAAAATCATTAGAAAGTAAAATTGATTGGATCTCCTATGGCCTTATCATTGGCTTGGCCTGAAATGGGGATTCCTGAAACCAAAATGGGAAATACAATATGAAGACAACACAATAAACTCATGTTTTGTTTGTTCCTTTAATGGAAGAGCTTTAATGGCCATCTACCTGATCATTGTTGCATTGGCTCATGTTTCATTTTGTATTCTGTAGCAAAGAGTTAGGATTGTTTCGGTCCCACTTTTCTAGCTCTTGAAGGCATCCTTGCTAAGCTGCTGTGTTTGCCCTCAGAGACATGGAAATCAATGACTCCTGGTTTCACTATTTGGTGCTTTCTCATTCCATCTACATTTCAAAAATGTATTACTAATAGCATTTTTTATTCAGTGTAGGTTTAGTTTATGTAAGACTTGTCTGCACTCTCCAAATTAATTTCTTTGAAGTGCTAGAAGCATTTTGCCATATATAATTTTAACAACTTGGCAACAGGAGTAGCATTTAATTTCCCACAACTCTTTCTGTGCCATGTTATTCTTGAAATGCCATTTGAACTAGCAGTCACTAAAGGGGAATAAAATTTTGAAGAGGATTTAATGTTACATTTATAGCTGTAGGTGACAAACATGACTGTAATGATATCTTAGAAACAGGGATCGTTGGCAGCAATACACGTGGAACAGATAATGTGAGTAAATAATAGTCACCTGGCAGTATTTATCTTGAATCAGTGTACATAAACATTTCTTAAGCCAAGCAGAGATGGTGCAGGCATCAGCTTGGCAGAGAGACATACTGTCATGCTCTACGTATTGTAAGAAATGAAAGTTTGCCCCTCTGAAGGCTCTCTGCACAACAGGGTTACCAGCTCATAACCTAGCAGCCTCGACTATTACTTTAACAGCTCCCAGTGGAAAGAATGTATGCAGCAGAGATTTGTGGCCACATGCTCCAATGGCCCATTCTCTTGCACACCAATGCTGCTTGAAGCACGACAGGAATCTTGCTTGCCACAGCACTTGAGAATGTGACCCACTGCGGTGCTGAGATATGTCTTGTTGCTTGTGTTATCATGTTCTGTTGGCCCGCCTACCTTGTTCCTTACATCTCTGAACTTCTCACAGCCTTTCTTTCACATAAGCTAACCTGGCTACATAGGCTTCATGAATGGGAAAGTGTTATTTAGAGGGGCTTGACGGATAAGGCTTTGTTGTGAGAAGGAAACAGCTTCCTGCATCTGGCCAGGCATAGGACATTCATTCAGTGATCTTTGATAATACAGCATTAGCCATGTAACCATGTATTGTGCCTAACACAGTAATCCTGGTAGATGGAGCACTATGGACATCCATTACTACTTGTATCGCGTTAACTCCTTGAATGTTCAATCATGTGTTTTGCTTATGTAGTAAGAGAAGATTACGTTTACTGTGTTCTGCCCTGGAAGAGCAGATCAAACATTTTGAATCCCACTAAAGTGCCCACAGTTACCCTTGCAACTGTGAATTTCATAGACCATGCATTTCATCAAAAAACAGTTCTTCTGCACTGAATGTTTTGAATATCTTTGTTCAGAGCCTGGTTCAAAATAATTCTGTCTGTTAACTGTGTAATGCTTGGCCTGGCAACAATGACAGTGAATGGATGCCGGATGGATTCCTAGGCCAAATAATCAGACTAGAGTGTTATGATTGCTCTTTCTGGCATTACCATCTGTGAACCTGGGCAATATGGAGTTCCCTGTATACTGTGGTGACATAATCTGCCACCAAGTTTTCTTAATAGCAGGCCAGTGACGTTGGAATGGTGTATGAGATCTCTGCAAGGCAGTGCTACAAGTTCTTTTTCATACTTGTAATGTCTCTGTGTGATTTTTTTATATAGAATTCAGGTCCGCCTTTTTGTCCTTCTGAAACACTTTGGCAAGAGGGAGTATAGGAGAGACACTATTAGCCAGAAATAAGCCCTGGAAATTCTCCATTGCCTCTCAGCAAGACCTTTTCCTCACCTCAGTTCCAGTCGGTCATCATATATTTATTTAATTTCAGGATAAGAACTTGGGGGGTTGCAGTTCTTCTGCAAATAACTTTCATTGATGACATAATAAGATATAGGACCTAGCCCTGTCTTTGGTCAATGTAGCAAAGGCAGGACTGGTGCGTATTGTTTCAGATAGCTTTTTAAACTAAAAATTATTAGAACCAGGTGCATGATAAATACGTTGTAGAGTATGGGTTTCCTAACAGAAACTACAAAATGATTATATATGGAGAAAATTGATGGTGTTTGAATTTATGTGATGCAGTTAATGTAATATTATTCAGGTGATGAACATATTCTTAGTAAACAGCAACAGGCACGAGTCCATCTATAGAGATGTCTGTTGCCCAGTGGAAGAGTAATCTGCCTGTACACTTTTCTTGGTTTCAGCTGTCTGTTGACAATCAGGAGATTGTTGTGTTTCATTGGTCTTCGTTTTTTATCGATCACATCGAAAGCTACTTTAACTGAAGTATTGTCTACCATGACACAAATAATTTGTATTCTGGAGACTGCAATGTCAATATTCTCTGTAACAGCATAGTATTTTGTACTTTCATATAAAATAAACTGTGTGTTTTCCCTCCAGAATAAAACCCATTTAAAAAGCTTGGAGTGTTGTTCTGATCTGACATTTCTTCCTATCAGAAAATGGCATGGAAATGAGCTGTTCAACAACACGTTTATGAAGATCTGGCTTTATTCATTGTCAGGAAGCCCATCATGCAGGCATGGAAAGTTTGCTAAAATATTTGAGAGTCTTTCCATGTTGTAACATCTTTATTGTGTCATTTTAATCTCAGAAGCACCATGGCTATCACTAATAATTCATGCCAAGTTCAGAGACAAGTGACGGTAGAATTACTGAGCTTCATGACTGTTATGGCAAATATACCCCAACTATCAAATGCCATTTTACTTGCTTTGCCAAGCCTATCAATATATGAAAAAGAAATTCTGATATATAGTCCATACATTTTTGAGAAACAAAGATATTTATTTATTTTTAAAATCCAATTAACAACAGTCTCTAACAGACCTCAGCAAATCTTGGAAGCTAAGCAGGGTTGACCCTGGTTACTATTTGGATGGGAGACCACCAAGGAAGTCCTGAGTTACAACACAGAGCCTGGGGCAAATCACTTGAATGTCTCTTAGTTTGAAAACCCTACCTACAGGGTTCCTATAAGTTGACTAGGGCTTAGATCCCATGGAGTAGTGGCCACAAGTGGAATGATGTACATTCACAGAATGCAAATTTCTTCTCCTCTCCTGCAAAAACCTGAAACATAAACCACCACCACCCTGGAAATTGTGGCATTTCTAGCTGCTGTGTGGGAGGTTTCAGTGAGCTCCTATCCCTCTGTGGCAATACTCCATTAGCCAAAGAAAAGCTGTTTTAAAATATGTGCTCGGTTTTTAGATGATGTGCATATTTTTTGCGGCAGGCATCATCTTAGCCTTCATGCAGGAAGGGACGTAAGGTGGTGCTCACCACGTATAATTTTGTAAGCACTTGTATTGAAAATAAATGTAAAATATCTGCTGCCTGCATAACCAGGGTACATTTAAAATGATTAAAGACCATGTGTTGCAGTCCTAGGTGTTTTGGTGCCAGGAATACTGTTGTTCTTGGCTTGCCCCCATTAGGTAGACTTTCCTCCAATTAGAATGCATGGAGGTAGAGGCAAGATGTTTCATTACCTGGCTTCGTCATAATATAATTCTTGAATCACATGATGTTCCCTCAGACAAACTAGTAAATTTGGAAACAAACAGCTGTAAGATGATAAATAAATCACTACACTGGTTTAGAATTGAATGTCAATGTAAAGTAACACAAGGGGTGGCCCGCGATACTCGCGGGGGGGGGGAGGCGGAGCTCCAAACTGAGCTCCGAACTCAGGAGGCGCAGGAGGAAGCAGCAGGAGAGGGTAATCCCCCCCCATCCTGCTGGTTCCTCCCCCGTATCCTCCCCCCACACTCGATCTCCCCCCTCTGGCCTCCCCCCCCTCCGGCTCCTCCGAAGCAAGGTTTGGGTTTCTATTCCAGGGGTCACTTTCCATTCTGAGCAACAACGTCTGCTCAGCCTGACATGCCCCCGTCGGTTTTCCCAACGTGACTGTCTCGCCTGTTCAGGGGAGGG